CGTCAGCTCGGTGTAGGTGGAGAACTCCACTCCTGAATAAACAGGTAAATGGACTGTGTTAAGCAACAGGTCAAATTAGTGAAGGAGAGTAGAAAACCATCTGTTATGCTTGGCTAAGTATGTTGGACAGCGCACTACACAGAGACAATTGGCTTTTATTGTATGTACAGCAGCAGTTATTTCTTTAAAAAATCCTCTTCTCAGGCTTTTTAGTGATATAATAAATCTGTACATCATAAACTTCTTAATTGCACCAACTTAATTTTGTGTACACACAGAAAAAAAGAAAAACAAAAAACCCACCACAGAAGAAGTGACTATCACAGCTGAATGCAAGAAAAAAAAGGTTTGAACACACCTGGAATATCAGAGCATAATACATTATTGGAAAATACAGAGTTACGGTCTTAGAAGGACCTCAGACCCATCCTTCCCTGTTATTTTCACACCATGCCAGCACCTCGCATAGTAGCAATTTGGATATCCTGAGTGAAACAATATTACTCACCCTTAACTTAATCACGTTTGTTATATAGCTAATCTTGAGTTGTCACCAAGGCTGTGGCTTAGCAATGTACAGAAGCATCTGCTGACTTTAAACACATAAATAAATCCACTTAGGTCCTGTGGAGGTCAAAGCATGAGGTCAGCTGTTCCCACTCTCAATGGGAATGTCTTAGCCCGGAGCTACAGTATACTTAATTCAGGATAAGAACTTAGCTCAAACTTCAGTTCTACAATTCAGAAACTGCAATAAACTGAAATGAAAAAGCCATGCAGCTCCCACCTTGTACAGAGCTCTTGCTCCTTGTAACACCTAGAGCTACCAGAGCTGGAAAAGGTGTTAAAATAAGAGCAAGGCTCTTATTTTGCTTCCCTGTACACATTTGGCTGCATTTTCTATAGTCAACCTCGCTTTTTCCTACGATACTTTGCATATCATGAACACCAAAACTTTACAAGAAATACACAGCAGAAAGCTTTCATTTGAAAATGACCTAGAACCAGCAAGGAGATGCAGTACCAGGAAACGCTGTAAAATTTCACTGATCCTCAAAACTGGTGTTGTCACCAGGCAATAGAACACCTGGAAAAAAGCAGCACTGGAAGTGAAGTCCTCTCAAAAGCAAGACAGTAACCACAGGTCTGTAGGACCTGGGAAGAACAGGGAAAAAAGAAAATCTAACAGAAAGTGTAAGAATAAAGCCCGGTATTTCTGCCTGCACAGTTTATGACCTGTCCGTTAAGTTGAAGAAGTTTGCCAAAGATATTCTGCTTTTTAAATTAGTATCTTTTAATATATTTTAATAACTTTTTTCCACAACGGCATTCCTTCTCCTTCCTGCTGCCCAAGATTCACGTTTCATATATAGTGAGGAGTGAATGGCTGTCATTTCTTCCTGGGGTGAACTGGATATGAAATACTAGTGACCTAGGGATGAAGGACCCCCTCCTCTTTAAAGTGACTTTTAAAGTGATCTCAGTCACTTAAAAAGAGTTACCTAGCTTGTACTCACACTTGAGGTATTAGGTAGTTCTATTGCTTTAATCTACAAAGAGAAATTTAATTCTTGTACTACTTGGTCAAAATTCACACTAAAGCCAAGGCAAATCTTGGTTAGGTAAGGATGCAGGTTGTCTCCATCAAGGCAAATGAAAAGCTAAAATGCCATAAAGGAAAACAAACCACTAACACAGATTAAGAAGGTTCAATTATGGGCAGAAAAATTCTTTAGAAAGGAAAAACATGTCTTCATCTCTTAATGCTCATAAAATAAATACCATCTCTTCATTGCTGTGCAGACAAAAGTGGGAAAAAAAGGGGCAAAAAGGAAGAAAGATTTTCACAGGTTGTTTCCAAGCTCTTGTTCTGAAGTAATTAAATTGGAAGAGAGAAAACAAGATGTTTTCAGTGTATTATCATGCAGACATTTGTTCTGCTGTTCAAATGTGTCATTATTAAAATTATGAAGATTGCAGAACATAAAAGAGCAAAATTATTCCCTCCAGCATCCTTCACACAACTGCACAGGAAACATGCAGCACTTGACAGGATACGTCGCAGCATGAGTTATGCCAGTTTACAAATCCAGCCCTCCCCACCCAAACTGGTGGCATGGCTCATGCTGATTGTCAGGATCCAACTCACACTGACCTAATTACTAGTACACAAAAAAATGTTTGTACTTAGATCTCCTGATCTTAAATGATGATCTAATAATCTCAGAAGGGGGGAATGGGATTCAATATTATGGGCCTTCAGGGCTGTCACAACTGAGCAACTCAATTCTCCCTCTGTGGTTAGTTCTTTAGCTTGTTTTTACAACAGGACGTGAATTATTTGTAGAGGAGTTGGAAGAGGTGAGGAACACACCAGCCAGATGTGGAGGTCAAACATCAAACCAAACGATGTAAACATTTTCCTAAGGAGTGAAGGCAATTAAAAACCAAGATTCCCTTTTTACCCCAAATGCCTTACTTTCCTCATCTTAAGAATTAATTCTCTCTCAATATACATGAGCCCAAACCCTCACACAGTTTGTTCTCATCCCCACCATGAGGACACACATTTAGGGAATCACCAGGACCTTAATAAACAGGAACCAAAAAACCACTTCAGTGTGTATCTGTTCTTTGGGGTAAGCTACAAACAAGTCCTACTCCTGTATTCTGCAAGTTATTCAGTGTTATTTCTGCTCCATTCTACAGAACATGATAAAGCTTCTGTAAACGAAAATCCCAGTTCAGTAATTTAAGCAGACTTCAAGTAGCGTTACATGCTCCTTTTACATTCCCAATTCCACAGCTCCTCACTTTTAGCGTAAGAGGTGCTAACAATAGAGCTCGGTCTTACTTTGATTTCTTGAACTTGGTGGCCAGTTGTGGTTTTCTCCTTCAGCAAACAAGACTGAGTATTTAAACCATGGCAGGGATCTGATCTCCAGCCTGCCCCATTACGCAAAGAGGTCTGAGTAAAGTCAAGGGAAAAAAAATGTATGTTGAGAGAACATAAAATTATTATTTTTTTTTTCAGTGCTCATATCATGAACCACAACATGGAACAAATGAAGAAACCTAACTTCTACTTTGTATTCAATTAACAATAAACAGAAAGTGTTAAAGCACATTCAAGCTAGACAAGCCTGTACTACTGAACTGGGATTTCTGAGCACATTACAGCTCTAGAAGACTCATTTGTAACCAATTTTCAAAATGCAGAATATTCAAATGCCTTCAAGTGTTTTCATAATAAGCAGCATGCTTAAACATAAAACTGATAGTCTGGACTGCTGTACTACCACAGGGATTTTAGGAGGTTACACATAAACAGTATTTTTAAACAGTAGGTTCAGTTAAACATTTGCACAGTTCATTTCTTCTAATATTTTCTTAGTAAAAAAGAAACCTAAAAGCCCTCTACTTTTACATTCTTTGTAAAAGTATTTACCAAGGAATCTGAAGTCCATTAGAAGTTTTGAAATGTGTTTCTGTTTGTCAGCGACCTTCTATTTTTGAAGAATGGTTTAAGTTGAAAGCCCAAATATCTTCCAAAGCATTTGATGCCTTTTTAAGAGGAGGAAAGCAGGGTGGGGGTGGAGGGTGGGGAATCACTGTTGGCAAAGCACGCACAAATCTATCATCCATTCATGTCAGTAATTTAGATGGAATGAATGTTTTTATTGGCTGAGGAGAACAGGCTTGGTCCTTTGTCCTCAGTAGGAATGTATACGATGGAAAAGTACAGGTATGCACGAAAGATGGTACCTGTGAAATACTGACTTTTTATTCTTCTTAATAGCCAAAACAAGAACTATGCCTTTACCTTCATCAGTTTTTCCTTTTAATTTAAAGGAGCCAGCTGCAATATTTAATGAGGGGGAAACAAACGCAAAAACCTCCCCCAACCACCCAGCCACTCACCACCTGCCAACACTGGTAGATCTAGAAACCAAAAGATGACTGAGGGAATTGTTATTTTTGAAAAAGCTTTCTTCACAACTGTGTTTTCTAAGATCTCAGTAAGTGGTTGGCAAGTAAAACAAGCTGTCTAATGAAAAGCATTATAGAGTTAAATATGCTCTATTCATCACTTATTGCTCCTAGCTTTGCATTTGATATGATGGTTAATATACTTGTCTAACAAGTACTTGGGAGAAGGAATTAGAGCCCCTAAGACAGGTTTTTGCATTAGCAACGCAGCTTCTCACACAGGGAAGAAAAGCTACATAGAAGAATTTGTAAATGTTTTGTTTGCGAGTAAACTCAAGTAGACTTTAAAAAAAGTTCTGTTTTTTTAAGCATAACTTATGCACAGAACATTAAACAATATGCTAGTGTAAGTATTTGCATAATTTATTGGTTTATGGCTAATGTCAAAGGCATCTCTCCACCTACATGGACTGAGCAGTTATTACAGCAGGCTACAGTTATTACAGTAGGCTATCTTAATCAGCATTTCAGTTCTGCTTCTGAAAACTTACCCGTTTCCAAATTACAATACAAACTGGATCTGGGTGTCTCTTTTCCCTTTCAGCCTGACTAGAAAAACAAGTCGAGACTTGCATTGCTACTATTCCAGGCTGCAGTAAGGAAGCACAGTGGTATCTTCTCTCTTTATGGTGGTTCTGTCATCTATAGCAGGTACGATGTTTCAGTTCTTAGCTCCCTGTTAATGTAAACTAGGTGCTCGCACGCAGGTCCTCCCCACTTACACCGTTCCCCACCCTCCCTCATCATCTAGAATAAACCACACAGTCCTCCAAAAGCTGTCACAGTACAATTAGCGCTGGTTGTATTTGGAGGAGAAACTTTATACTCAGAGAGAAAAAGTGTTCTGGAAAAATAAACAAAAAAAAGACAAGCTTTCTGTTTATTCCTGGACCACTGTATTAGTGAACATCATTTTATGCAAGTCATCAGCTGTATTTGTATTCTCTAGTACTGCTCTGTAAACAACTGGTCAACTGATGTGCAAGTATCCCATTGGAGAGTGTTCAGTCTCATATGTATGGTTCTGCCGAAGCACCGTTCAATTTGTTCTTGCTTTTGTTTTTGGAAAGAAGCTTTCTGTTCAGAATACGTGAAAGTGTGCCTCCCTTCTTGCGCGTTTCCTCTGACAGTGGCTGCTGCAGGTAGACAAGATCGTTGTGCGATTGACTCATTCCTGGATCCTTCTGATGATGTCTCCGGCGGAAAAAGAGCTTCGCACTTTTTTTCAAAATCCCACCTGTGGAAGCAAACAGCAGAGGCGCAGGACACTTTAGACAGAACAGGCTGCTTTCCGTTTGGAGCTCAACTGCAGCACGACTGAAAAAAGCCATGGTCTTAACATTTCCAGTTTAAGCATCACCCTGGTAACTAATCAAACAATGTTAGAAAGCTAAGAGCATGGTGAATTTAAAGCAAGGATATTGATGGTTTGTAACCTAGGGGCCGTAACAGTACGAGTTCCACCTTGGAACAAGTGATTTCAGATGCTGGCAAACATAAGCAATCGTTGTGCTTTCTGCCAGAGGCACACATGTGTACACTACATGCTACTGAACCCTCCTTGCCCCACTCTTGATCCAGCCGTCTCCCAACTGACCACCACTGAGAAATTCAGACTCCAGGGAAATGAGTATTTCTCTGCTGCTCCTCATTCCATGCAAGTATCATGCAAACTGAATTGCTTAGGTTCACAACAGGCTGTGGTAGTTCTAGGTCAATGCATATCCACACACTCTTACAGTTAGCAGAAACATTCGGGAGAGAAGAACTCACATCTATTGCTAGAGGAGCACTAAAGAAAAAAGGAATTTTCCTTCAGTTCTTTCAGAAATGATGCTGTTGAAAAGGAAGGAAAGCTACTGTGAAACATGCCTATGAGCAATCAAGTATTAATCCTCAGATTTCAGTTTCTAAAGCCAATCCACACATCTTATGGAAGTCTCCTTATTAGTTTCAAATGCTCTTCTGAAAGCTACGGTAGTGTTCAAACACATGCACAACAGTGTTTGGTGTGGGTTGTACACTGGGTTCTCACACGTTAAACAGGCATATCCAATCTTTCCAATACAATAAAAGTACAGAGTATTTTATAAAAAGAATGAAATAGAGGAAGTAATGTTATTCTTTGTTGTTTCAGAGATCAAACGAGCTGAAAAGATTAGCCCATGATGCACAACATGAAGGTGGCATTTTAATTTGAGGTGAAGGACACTGTTGGTGCTGGAGAACAGTACCTGGCAGTCAACCTGCATGCAGTAGGCCCATACAAGCCAGACAGCATGTATTCTGTACAAATTCGGTAGCACCACCTAGAGTAACAATCACGAAGCATCTGCTATTTTAAAATCCTGTTAGGAATAGCAATTCACTTCAAGCAGATTAAAAATAAGTATTACATCTGCTTCCAACAGGTTCAGAAATTTGTTCCAATCTCTTCTGCGGTAAATTAAGTGGCTTTATTTTGTTGCGTTCCTTCCCTTGATCCCATGTCAAACCTATTATGCAGCCAAGGCAAACGCAACTGTCATCTCACCAGGGACTCGGGACTCATGTTGCCAACACCAGCCACCAGTCCTCTTCCCTCTTTGCAAGCTCGGGTTGTTTTTGCAGCCACCGTTCTGCCAAATTCCACCTTCCCTTTCCATGCGCACACGCGTGCCTGATGCGTAAGGCAGCTCGGTGGCAGCTGGCGGGGACGCCTCTCTGAGCTACCGGCAACACTCAACCTGGTGTCAGTACATCAGCCCCAAGTTAAAATTACAACAGTTTTGTGCAGAATTGAGTAGTGTTGTTGTCCAAGTGGCAGGAGCCAATTTGAACGAAGGAGGACCCAGGTAGCAAGCCAACGCAGGAGCCTTCTGGCAGTCAGACCAGTACGTGAGGGCAGTCATCTCCCTGGCAACGCTTCCACACCTCGTTCCCCCACCGCTCTTGGGTTTCCCGATTCTTTCTCAATTCAGCTATTAATTCCTGTCATCGCACGGTCCTGATTCTGCTTTTCCTCCCATTGCAAATGGATACAAAAAGCAACACACAGACCAATTATTTCATGCGATACTGTGCAATAGCTAGCATTACGTATTTGTCCCCCGAAGGACTTGACACAGGCTGCGTGTCATTTTGCACAGCAACAGCTGCAGAATAGGTATTTCATGGCAGCTCTGCTGCACGCAGCCAGATGCTTCTTTGTTCAGACCAGAGCAGCTACAAACATGTGCTTGGGTTAGTAATAACTTTGTATTTTAAGGACTAAGCACTCATATCCTGGGAGGATATTCTAGCATGTTTTGTCTTGCTGCTTGCGGAGACTTTTCTCACAGGGCGTGATGGGATAGAAGCAGAAGTCAGTTGAAAGCAACTGGAACTTGTGGATTTGAAACTTCACTTCTCTCCCATCACCCTCTGATGGATCTTTTTGGCAAGGCAGTACCACTTCGAGCTGTTGTCAACAGCATAAAAGAAACAGTGTTCAACCCCATGATACTGACAGTTGTTAATATGCAAAGGCTGGGGCGGGGGATTGATGAGGCCTTGCTGCTGTGCGGCTTTTGTTTTAGCAGTCAGCTGTTCTGCCCAGCAATCTTGGCAGCTGCAGCTGAAGCTGTGCCAGCAGAAGGAGTAGGACAGAAGAGTTTACCCATAAGCAGCTATTTAGTCCTATCCATTCAGACTGATTTCCCACACTAGGAAATAGAACCGAACCAAGAACGCTGCAAAAATTGTGCCGGTGACCTGGGACAACTCGCTGCAGCTAAAAAACCACAGGCAGCGCTTCCCTGAGAGCAGCACAGGCTCAGCACAAGTAGCAGCCCCCGCCCCCGACATGAAAGCTCCCTGTGTTTTTGGAGGTACTGAGGTCATTGCTACCTGGAAGCTTGCCACATCTCCACTGCCACCCATCGGTCTCTAGCCAGTTTGGTACGTGCTGCCTGACAGTGGCTCCAGCTGTTGTGGAGGCATGCACCCCTGCTGAGAAGGCAGGGTAGGGCAAATCACAAGCTTGGCGATGCTCGTGCTGTTTGCATGCTTACTTCTCAAGTTCAACACGATCCATATGCCAACTCTGCCCCTAACACCAGGAGATAAGCAGAGAGCATGTCAAGAGTGCTGTAGAGACTGACGGGCTTCATAGGCTCCTCTGCTCTAGTTTAGGGTCTTCTTAAAACACTTGTGGGGCTAGGATCACTTCTGAATCTCATTTTTGTTAATGAAGGAAGATTTCCTTCCACATCTACAAGGATATGAATAAAGATTGCTTCTTTCCATTCCTTCCCAACTTCCAAAACAGTTTTTATCCAGGTGGTTTTGTAAATACCTGCTGAGGTCCTGGTAGCTCTACAAGTTAGGCTTGAAAAGAGATCTAGAAAACTATAAGCAGCAGGTTTTAAAATAAGCTTTCTGTGTATACATGTCCAGTTATGGGGTCACACACACACGGTTTGCATGAGCAGATTTTGATTGATAACCAGATAATAGAGGAATGGGCATGATAGACAGAGATCAGGAATGTAGAGCACCCCTCCAAGCCTTCCTTGCTGTCCATTCTGCATGACCCACCTGGACAGAATGACCACCAGAATGATTTGTTACAGCAGAGTAGTCTGCTAAGTCACCTAAGCACGGGAAGGTAATTTTGGAGGGAGGAAAGAAATGGATGGAGGAAGAAGAAAACAGGTGCTGAACTATGTTTTGCTTTGGTTTTTACAATGAGCGTACCATTGTAAAGCTACATTTTCTTGAAAAAAAAGACAAAAATAACTTACTGTGTAGGTAATTAATTCTGGTTGGCATAGTAGTCCTCTTAAGTTTATAAAAGGGAACGGGTAAGAAAGAGGAAGTCAGAAAGGTAAAAAAACAGAAATATGCAAGAGTAAAAAAAAAAAAAAAAACCAGACAGTGCTAACTTTAAGACATTAATACATACATAAGGCGTTTTAAAGCAGAAGGGGGTTTGATTGCTTTGTTTGGGTTTTTTGTTGTTGTTTTGTGTTTGTGTTTTTTTAAAGGGAAAGCATTTGACAAAACAGAAACCTTGAACTGTTCAAAGCTAACTGAAGGCAGGGGAGTTGAAATGTTTTCATATGTCACTCCATAAAAGCTACTTAGCTGTGACAAAGCAGAGATTCAAGACTTTCACAAAGTGATCTGTGTATAAAGAAAGGTATTTGAGACAGTTTTTAAAAATATTTTTTCAAGAGGAGACAACTCGCTCAAATATTAGAAATGCTTTGCGCTTTTTAACAGTCCTATACTACATCGTGTAAACAGGATCTTTAGAAGCCTGATCTCTTTGCAACATATTGCACAGGGAAAACCAAAACTAGACAACAGCTCACATACAAACTTCTACTTGCTTGTTTTAGAGTAACATGTTAATGAAGAGTCTAGAGGGTTTACAAAATCTCATTCTGCTTCCTAAACTTCTCCAGGCTCCAAATGACACAAATCCTTTTACAACTAACCCCCTACCTCCGCCCCAAACACACCCAAAACTTTCCAATGCCTGACCGTCTATGTCAAATTGATGGCTGCTGTACCATCCTGATCTATCACGCGGAGCAACACAACTGTGAGAAGGTCCCAAAACCTTGATGCTCTAAGGGAGAGTCTTGGCAAAGAGTCCAGTGCTTGTCGTACCGTGGGGGGATACAACAATCTAGCAATATTCTGAGGTTTTGTAGTAAGCCATTTTACAGTATCTCTGGGTAAGGAAAGAATAGAAAATAATAAAGAAGGATGGATATGGGTGAGAAACACAACAATTTTTGCAACTTCAATGTGCAGCATGTTCAGGGCACGGTCCACTGCACTGGCTCTGGTGCCAGACTTCCTAACAGCCCTGTGTTTACCACTTAGCCACAAACCAGTGCTACAGCCTCAGAGGTTAATGGAAACACAAAGAATCCTAAGACATTTTCAAACTGCAGCTATCCAGGTGTGTAACTACATAAGCAAAAGGATCTGACCCCTTGTTTACTTATTAAATTACCTTCTATTCTATTTTCTTTAGCAAACTACATATTAATGAAATCAGTGCAGAGGACAAACTGTTCACAAGGCAGTTAAGAGAGAGTGTACTTCTGGTTTAGCTGTGGTGCTTCCTGAAAACATGCTTCAGTGGGTGCAGGGGAGTCTTGTGCTCAGAGATGTGAAGGAGGAGAAGGAACGTATCAGAAAACAACAGTGGAACCCTGCCATTTTCACCTTAGTAACGGGGCTGCTAATATAGCACAAGTCCTTGTTTACAAGAACATGGTTTTCATCGAGGAACTGACAATGTGGCTAGTTATTTCTCTCTCAGATAACTGAGTTGGGCTTAATGAGCTGCTCTTCAACTTCTAACGGTGAGCCCTTCTGTTTCCTGATGAAGGGGAGTGTAAGAGAGCCTGACGCGGCTCAGAGAGCCAGAGGACTCCACTCTTTATGGCTGCTAGTAAGACAGCTTCACCCAACACCCCAATCACAAGGAATTTAAGGACAAAAATCATTAAGAAAGGATGAACTACTACAGCATTGCATGACACTGCCAATTACGCAGAGAAAGCGGTCATTCACTAAAGCGGAGGTAAGGATCACATACCTTTAGATTTTTTCATGCTCCCAGTTTCTGACACACTTAATGAGCTCCCAGATATTTCTTCACAGGTCTGGTCTAAGAGCGTGTCGGTGTCCCACTGTTGGCTGCCATTCTCCAAACCCCAAGCCTTATGGATGCTTTGCTGTGGATCAGTATCAGGTACTATTTCTGAAGCACCACACGATAGCTTTTCATCTGAGGTGACTTTTGCAACAGCTTGCTCTGCAGTGCGTGGATCTACTTCTTTGCAGGAGCTGTCCATGGCCGCAGCATAGTCCATCATCAGTGCAGCTTCGCTGTCCTGAGATAAAGAGGTCTGCCGGTGAAAACAAAGAGATGACACTGGCACAAGCCGCTCTGCTGGAGGGAAAAAACAAGCCTCCCTACAAAAGTTCTTTTCTCTTCTTTACACTTTTACTTGTATTGCTCAGGGCTATCAGAAAGCCACTGTGAGGCTTCCTTAGCTCCACTAAAGAAGAGGAGCATATAGCCAAGTTTTAATAATGTTGTTAACGCCAAATGACTGGAAAAAATATTTAAGTACAGGCCTCCCAGCTGTGCCCCACCCCACTGCTAACAACAGGACTCTTTCCTACATGTGCTGCTGTAATGAAGTATCAGCATACAATAATCATTTGGTCTTTGTAAGAAAATAAACATCAAAGTGTTTCATCTTGTAGAAGGACAGCTAAATACAAATCCACACAGTCCCAGTGCCCCCATGTCCTAGGTGGATACATCCATCACTGTGGCAGCTGACTCTCACTCCCCTCCCTGGCACAGCACAGTGATCACGAGGGGATCTATGCCCACTGACTCGACTTTTGCTCAGCGCTCTTTAGGGGTCCCCTGCATAACAGGAAGACTTGACAGCAAGTGTCCATACAGCAGCCTGCAGGGAAAGGACTACAGGCAGGCACCAAGCAACAGATGGGAGACTGGGGCTGTGGATGAAGAAAGTCTGGAGGAATGCTATACACCATGTGAGCAACAGTCTTCTGTCTGCCCTCCTGCTGTAACAAAGCCCAGAGGATGTTTTTCAGAGGGTTTTGTTTTAACAACTTTGAAAAAAACCCAGAAAAATGTTTCATACTTTTTCTGTTCATCTTCCCTCCATGGGCAAAACACAGAGAAGAACTAATTATCCTCTGTTCTCACCTAAATTGGTTTTCCCAAATCCCTAATCACCCAACTCCCATCCAAGGATACCGTGCATTTTTAGTCAGGCTGTCAAATCTAACCATCAAAACCCAACACCCTCCCCAACAAACCCACCCTGATTTGGCTTAATTTGAAACAGTTACTGAAACAAACTGGCACACAGACCTAGATCCTGCCAGCAGAGACTGCTGAATGAGAGACAACAGAATGCACATTTAGTATCACACTCAGTGGAGCAAAGACTTTACAGTACTAAGCATTAAATATAAGTGTTGCTTTCTGCTTTACCTTGGACACCCCTGATATGATAATGGTGCTTTTCTTTCTAGGTGACTTTAGCTTCTGCTTTGCAGACTCACTTAACTGCCGAATGGCTGCTTCTGCAACAGGATCGGTGCCATTCAGTACCAGCAATTCTGAAAAGAAAGCATTATTTCAGAGGGAAAAAAGAAAAACAGGAAAAAACAGAGCAAAGAGAGACAGAGTTTGTTCTTGGCTTAAAATTCAAAGAAATTAGCAGAAATGGTAAACACCAGGCATACCAAAACATCTCCCCATTCACCACCCAGCTACTGGGTCTCACCTTTCCCTTCTGTCACCCATTCTTTTTAGAAAAGGTATCTGAGTTGCGCTTACAAGCCCTTGTCCTCAGCACAGAGGAGGTTTTGGAAGCCTAGACAAAACATCCAATTATTTCAGTGCATTGCTACGCTGAGGTGACTATAATCCAGAAGTGGTGGGCAGAGCATGGTGTATCACAGTCACAAAGAGCCATAGTTCTAACAGGGTACAAAGCTGACATGTGCTACTACCTCTTCAGGTAGCTATTTTGCTCTTTTTCCAGACATCCTTGTTTGGCATTTCCAGATTTGCTATGGCACTGTGATAGAACGGGGAAAGCAAAGCAGCACTCACTCTGCTCTTTATCAGCTGCTTCCAAAGCCTGTAAAGTGCACCTCCTTCTCCCCTCCAAACATTGCACAGGAGTACAAAACCTGCTTTATAAAATGCTCTTTAGTGACAAATACAAGTTTATTTTTAAGCATGGCCATTTCTGGCATCTACTATGCAAGTAGTTTGGGCACGGCAAATACGCATTAATCAAATTTGTCAAACTTAGGAACAAAGAAGTTAAGTTAACGAACTAAGGAACTAAGAAAGTTAACAAGACAAAAATCCCCATAGTTAATTGTCTGAGGTGGGCTTTTCTGTTAAGAGTTTTAACAACACAAGAATACAGGCAGGAATAGCACCAGTATTAATTAAACTGAGCAGTGTCTTTTGTTACAGAGACATTAATACAATAAAAGACAAGACCTGAATAATTATGCTGCACCAAGTGTCTCGAATACTTTTGGAACTTAAGAGTACGCGTGCACAAGGGGTATGCATGTCCATGCACGTCTGCACACTCGTTATAAACCTCTACTTTTCCATCTCTCTAGCCACTGCAAAGTCGCCAGGAACAGCTGAGAGCATCCAGGACAGCATCAGTGGCACTTACTAATTCTTAGCGTTGTCATCACTTAGAACTATGGCACAGCCACGGCATCTTTTCCATAGTGCTTGTTGCTGTTTTGGCATGATGTTTGTAATAACTACCACCTAAGTTATTGCCATTCCAAATGTTCCTTTGTATTTCTTTCATTTGGCTTAAACGTTCATTCTAATGAGTAATTCTTCCTGCTGCATTGTATAAACATTTCACAGAAATTCCCCTGTGCTCCCATAAAAACACTGTCCATATCAGTGCGCTCTAGGTTGTCTTCAGATGAGTTTTCCAGTAAATGCTTTGTATCTTTAATATCATAAACAGTTACGAGAGTCAACTCAGAAGTCTAGCCCTATCTTAACATTTCCAAAATTGGCTTAGCAATACCATGCTGCTTCATAGTATCAGAGTACTACTTAGTCTAGAGGAGTGCCATTACAGCTATTCTGGTTCACACTCTCCCCATATTTCTGTCTTTTGGCCAATATATTTCTATCACTCAGCAAGCCGCCTGACTGTTCCAGGAGCAGTCTAGATCATCTCCAGATTGTCCCATCTTCACTCAAATCTGTGCAAAGAAAACTGGACTCCACATCACATGCCACACCTTTATTTACTGTTGCCTACAGAGCTACTGAAAGATCGCATGGGGACCACGCAAAGGACTGAAAAATATGCAGAAAATTCAGAGTTGCGATTCAAAAAGGTAAAATGCCCCAGAGTCAAAATCAGGTTTAATACAGTCAAAGTTAATTTGTAATTAAAGTTATACCAATGCAACCTGACACTCTGAAGACAGTTCAGCTGGATGCCAGGTGACTTAGCAAGGTGGACAAACAGGTACAGCAAGATTGTGTATTTGCATTAGCACAAAAAAGCCCAGTGGCAGGGCTAGGAAGAGAATTCAGTCTTCCTTGTATCAGTCCAGCCTCGTCCCTTCTGTTCAAAGAAGGGGGGACTTCACAATGGTCTGAAAGGTAAGTTTCACAGGGTTTTCATTTTGTGCACTGTCCCCCATGCTTTTCTAAAGGAGGAATCTTTCATTCAAAAGTAAAAGAGAAGACAGCCTGGCTTTTCTGCAGCCACCTCCGCTCTCCAAACCACAGCTCATTGTTATTTACAGAAAATTAGTAATTTAAATCACCAACTAAAACCAGACTTCTACTGCAAGACTGCTATATCCCTAACCACAGTACTTGCTAACATAAACAACTCAGTGCCTGTTGAAAGGCAGTAGCCACATGGGTTTGCTGTTATTTTAACAGGATTACATTAATCCCATGTGCAGCAGAGAGAGACGTATTCTTACTAGCAGCTTTGAACATTTCTATTACCTGTATCCGAAGACGATAAAGTTTTGCTGACTGGAGCACCATGAGAATGGATAGCTTGAACAGAGAAATCCTTTTCAATCACCTTTACTTTAACTGGAGTTTTCACAGGAGAATCTAAGAACCAAGTTTTTTGGTTATTTAAACTATTCAAGACATTTATTACAAAAAGAATAAGAATGTATTATACCAATGTTAAACCCTGTTCAAATCATAAGTGTTTGCAAAAGTTGTTTAATACAAATTCTCAATGCATGCTCGATGGTAACCTGACCCCAAAAGACTTGTGAAGTGTAGGAATTTGTTGGTTTTAAACATTTTACTGTAATATGCTAGACAACACTCACTTAAGTAAAAGATCTGCTTTTACAACTTAAAAGAATGCAGCTCTTTGTGAGACTTCACACAAAGACTATTTAGAGGTTTTACTTTCACACTTATCCCAAGAAAAATCAGAGAATCTATTCCTGAAAGACAGGCTGAAGAAAACCTTTGTCACAAGATGACACCAACCCTCATTAGAGATTATAATACAGATCAAGGATAGAAGGCACAGGATGGTCTGTCATCAGCAAACACTGTACGAGTCTCATACTTCTGTCATGTGGAAAACCATCCACCAAACCCAAACTCTTCTGTATTATAACTCTACCATGAAGTCTTACGGTGCGTACTAAAAGGAGCATTAACCACTCCTCTTGTAAGAACAGGGTTTCATGAAAATTAAAAGCCTGATTCTGAAGAACACAAGCAATGCCCTTCCCACTAACACATCAGAGAAGCGGGGACAACGGCGCCTTTCCTTACATCCTGCTCCCCCCAACCTCTCCTGGTCCTTTCCTTACATCCCACCCACTCAATTTTTTCTGGTGCCCACAGATAACCCTAAGAGTAAACACAGGAAGAAGTGGCCTTCCTCACCAGTGCTCAGTGGAGACGATCTCCCTTCTAGACGAGGTTTGGTTTTCACAGCAGTTACAGTAGTGACCACAGTCCCACAGGGCATCACAGTGCGATCCTTTTCTATCTTAGTGGCTGGCACTGGAGAAGAGACTTGCCATGTCTTTAATTCATTGGGTTCTATAAAAGAGAACTAGCAAGACAAAATAATTTCACCTTAGAAGGACAGTCAAGTAAGGAGGACACTAACATTTCAAGCCAGTACTCCTTTAACATTTTTACTAACATTCAAGAGCCAAAGACCGTGTGAAGTGTCACCACGCAATCTGAATGCACTACTCTAACTCGGCCACAAATGGTATCGCGCTGCGAGCGACAGTCCAAAGCACAAGATGAGTGCTGGCAAGTACTTCCCGAAGTAAAAGATCCCCTGTAAAAGCACCCAAGCACAGTAGTACCTCTGCACTAATGGATCCCAGCCCGGGCCCTGGCTCCAAGCTGCTCTCACTGGCCCTGCTGTTCAGTGCAAAGCTTTGCTGCCCAGAAGGTTGTTTCCTGAACAAGTCTAGAGGTACAGTCACCTTTGCGGATAAAGGACCTAGAAGAAATAAAATGAACAAAATCTGTGCACATCTGAGCTGTCAGCATGTTTAAGGGTGAGAAGAGGGGAAAGGGGGAGGAAGAACACAGGTGGCTAATTGCAAGAACTGGTTCTACACCATGGGGCAGAAACATGGCAGTTTTCAGAGCTTGTTTCCCATTTTACAACTATTCCTCAGCCTGGCCTAATACTGTGCAACAGGAAAGAATGGAGACATGAAACATTACTTATTTGCCACTATTTCTGGCCATTATTTTTCCCTGTATATGTAGAACGTTTAGGGGAAAAGAAAACACCTAGAAATATTACTATTAGGTTCTTGAACAAACACCTCGAGATGTTTTCTGGTCTCACCACCTGCCCCTTAACCCCACTAGGAAGGATAATGTTTCTCCAAATAAACCAAACACAATAGTTCAGTGGAGGGTTTTTCTTGCCACTGAAGGCTAATTGCAAACTGCAACAACAGCATCAAGTAGTAAAAATGTTTCAGCCCCCATGTTTTATATTTAATCCAATATAATCAGAATGAGTGAGTTTTATACCTGGTAATTGCTAGGCAGCCTCTGGGGCTTGAAAAGGAAGGATTTAGGATTAACACCCATGATTCCCCTTCAGCCACTGAAAGACCTGGAAAGCTTAACTGGAAACCAAAATTGCTCACAGTGGATTTGTTAAAAGTTTAGAAGGCTGAAAAATTAGGATATCAGCACATGGAAGACTCAGTATGTTGACAGTCTAGAAAGAAACTCAAGGTTTCTCTGTAACCTTAACTCAGATGAGGACAGAGACACATGAATAGTGTATTCTCTCTTCTGTCTATGATTACTGATGGAAGTAACGGTGTACACAGACAGCACTTAACCCAGGTCAATCAGTATTGCCCAAGAACTCTGCAATTTTCCATGGATTTCAATTCTGGGACCTATATTTGAGGACAGGCTTACAGGGTTTAAAAACACAAACTTAAGTTATAAATTTTCCCCAAGCTGTCTGTTTCATGTAAGTTTGGCTGGCTATTTTCAGCTGATCTCCCTTCCACAGCCATTGTTAAAGCCATGCTTGAGGCATACCCAAGTCCACTACCAGGACAAGTCAGCAGAAGACATCTGAGCTTTAATGCAGGTTCAGAAATCTGACAGTTTCTTCTTTGGTGATACAGCCAGGTAGAATTAAAAGAGGACTTATGTCAACATTTAGCAAGGCTCACGAGCTGATCATGCAAAATAATTCAGTTTTAATACTTACTATCCAACTTTCCATCTTCTACTATTTGGAGTTGCAATGCTTTTGATTTGGCACTTAGTTCACTGTGAAGTAAATGAAACTATGTTAGGTCTTTGCAGTCAAGCAGATTTTCCTTCCCACTTAGGTTTTCCCCTTTCCCGTTCTGGTTGCCAGCACCCTAACTTTTCTCGGCCCGCACCAAGCCAGGCCGTACAACTTGCTAACCGAGGCAGGCAGCGCTACATGCCACCAGTGCTGGCTACGCTGCGTGCGTAGCATCTTTTTGACCTCATGTAAGACTGACTAAAGGGATCATAGTGAGAAAACCGTGGCCTGGTTCCCTCCAGCACTGTTGCTCAAGTTCTATTTCCTAAAATTTCAGAGACTTTTCTTCTCCCCAGTAGCTGGCAAACAGTACCCTTGAAGCTGATGTTGGTCCCTAGTCTGAGTGCTACACCACAGCACTAAGAAGCTATTTTTTCCTGGCAGGATCAAATTTGTAAGTCAAGATGCTGGAACAGGTCCAATTAACAATGCATTCAAAGCTGTGGGATATCCTTTCAAAGCAGGAAAGTGTCCTGCAAAAGCAGGATAAATGCAAATAAATAAAAGTAGTTACAGTCTTATGTGAGAAGAGTCAGTATTACTTTTCCAAAATAAGATTCAAGGACGTTGCAAGATAACAAGACCTAGTTTCTGTGTGACAGAACTGACAGGAACTATTAGCAGAATTACTGGCATGTGTGGTACTTCATAAGATGGACTACACAATAGATACAAAACCTTTCCTCTAATTGAGACAGTGAAGCAAACTGGGTACCTACTGAGGAACCTTCCAGTACAACTTGATTTTATAACCTTCTTGGTAGGTGTTCTGCCAAAAACCTTAAGGGCATGCATATATGTATTTTATTTTTGTAAGCCTCTGTTTCAGTATAGTGTGATCTTGGCTGCAGGCATCCCACCTCCATTAGATGCTGTAGGACATCATCTATGCAGCAGGTTTTAAGCTTTTCTCTGGTATTCCCATCCCCTCCTGCACCTCCAGAACTTGAAAGAAAGCACTTTGATGGTACTATTGCTGCCATTTCCATGAAGCTAAAGGAGAACCTGATGTGGTGGTCAGTACGCTGGTCTTCAGACTGGTGGGTATTTTCATTTTTGAAGAAAAAAAGGGGGAGTAAGGGGATGTGAACTTGAAAGAAGGAACGCAGCCAAATCCTGATCCCTGATCTGTAAAAGTCCCCAAGCTTACCTCATGCACTTCTGAAAGGCAGCCAACACCGTGGAAAACCCAGCATTATCTCTAGTGTCAAGGCCAAATTCCAGTCAACTTAATCACATCCTGCCTGCCCTCTCTCTGCACTTTCAGTTGGAAAGGGTATTATTCTGACAAATTTCCTGTCCGAAATCACTGGGAACATTTCTGCTCTGCAACACCAAGCATGGATGCTGTTCTACCAACAGATGGCTGAAGTGATTCATAGACCCAGTGGCTGAAGCACTCTGAGATACTCTAGAACAAAAAGCTGCTACAGAAGTGCATTTTTCTCCTCTGTTATTGTGGAGAAGAAATTGCATCACGTAAATCCTTAAGTCTTGATTGCAATGCAGCACACTGTCACAGAAGAACTTTGTCTGGTCTGTGGCTTTCCACAAAAACCGTAGATCCTCATAACTAAAATCAGATTTTAAAAGTCGTTGACTGTGCATGTCTGAAGTAAGAGAGCTTCCTATCTGGTTTTCCCTCGACAGCAGGATGAGCAGCAGTTGCACACTCCTCCATCAGGCCACATAAAAAGGTGGGGCCTTTCAGTTTTGTTCATAGAATCATAGAATGGTTTGGGT